CCGCGGGCTCCCGTCGGCCGGCGCCCGTCGCCCGTTCGCGGGCGCATAGGCGTCCGGGCGTTCGTTGTCGCGCGGCGCGTCCCGCCCGACGGTCGTTAATTCGGCGACACCGTGGCGATAACGTTATTGTTATTGTTGTTCGCGACGTCGGCAACTCGCTGCGATACAATAACGGCGATAATTTTCGTTTCGAGTAGCGTGCCGTGCACATTGTCGTGACGTAACGGCGCCCGCGGACACCGCGCTGTGCCGCGCGTAACGTCGTAGACTCGCGGCCGGGAACATGAAACGACAATGTTATCGCGGTGCGTATTGATGAACGGCCGGAGATTACGATCGGCGGTCCGCCGCGCCGCCGCGGTTTCGGCCGCGCCGCGCGAACAAATACCCGCGGGACCCGGACGCGGCGACGACCGCCCGACACGGCCGTTTAATTTACTCGTCGGAACCCGTCTGCCGGGCCGTCCGAGACGCTCGGACGCGACTGGTCGATCGCGGCCCCCGATAACGATAATGATAACAGCGATAATTTTACCGGTCGCCGCGTTAACTGTTGACGGGAATACTCGCGGAGGTTTCGACAAATCCCCCCCCCAACGCTACCGGCGAATTTCCCAAAGGTCCGCTTTCTCTCCGCGTTGAACGAACGGCGAGGAGGGGGTAGCCCGGTTTATGCGTAGATGATGTTCGAAAAGTCGGACGTCCGGTTTTTGGCCAGCGACACGTGTTTTTACCCCCGTTCGTCGACGGTCTCCGAAAACATAAGTATTTTTACCTCGAATCGCCGGTTCCGTTTTTCATCCGTTCGCCCGTCTATCTCACACCTAGTCTGTGAACTAAACGAACCAGGAGTTATCGACTGGTTTCGACGGGAGGCACTTACTGAAAATCATCAAACTTTTACAATTTACGTATAACACTTGAAATCTGTTTGAACTATAACATCTACAAAACACTAGCACGTTATGTTTTATTTCGTAATATCACGGCAATCGTATTTCTGAACATCAAAACGCTCACAATCCTTACGCCTTTCGTTTCGTTTTTCGGGAACGAATAACCTGGTTCAAAAATATCACATTTTGCGCCGTCGCTGCTTCAGAAAAATATTAAAAACGCGTGTAACGACACGGGGAAGTTTTCACGCATTATTTCCGTTCGCGGTATTTATTTGGAAAACGTGAAAAACGCACTGACGTGTGCTCGGGGAAAAACGTGTGTTTTAATGTGCCGCCAGTTTGAAAACCAACGGTTTAAAGGACGGAACACCGACCTCATAAACGATAGCCAATGCGGACGGAATGGACGGGGGAAATTTCGACTGCTGTAAAACGTCTTAATTGTCTTCGGTTCTCGACGCTCGTTAGCTCGCCTATAATTATCATGTTATGTTTATATCGAGTTTGGCGCGCCAAAGTTCCGTTATCTTTAGAAAAAGTCATATCGCCATTAAATTATTAATATATTCCGCAATGAATAAATCAACCGGGCAAACATTAACACGCGAAATACAACCGCGCGATACAATAATATAATATAATTGCAGAGAGAATATATTTTACGATTGGCTTCACAAGGGTCGCAATAATTTTGTTACGATAAGTTTCTTATGCAAGTCGCGTATATCGGTCTGTTTTTTTTTTTTTTTTTAAATGCACTCACAACAAAGTGTGAGGGCGTTGGTTTAACATAACTTGTTTTAAGGTTTTTGAGCGAAACAAGGAACGTAACGATTACACTATGATGATTACTGTGTTTGTGTATATTTATTTAATTTTTTTTTTTTTTTTTATGCGGTATACAAAAATTCTAGCCGATATCTTATTCCGATGTGTTCGATGTTTTCACCTTTTGTGAAAAGAAAATTTATCTATTTGGTACTTTAGGCAAATCGACTATTGATTTTCCAACCGGTTTTCATAAAAATTTGGGAACTCGAGAAAAACGTAGGTTAAACGGGAAAATTTAAAAAATTATTGATGTTTTTTATTGTAATTCAGTTTAAATTGTTCGTATGGACTTTAAATTTAAACAGAATGCTTATACTTGCTGTTTATCGAAATTATTTACATGCCCTTGCCATTTTTGAGTTATATTTAGACATTTTACTTTGCCCACCGCGCGAATTGTGTCCGTATTTTTCTCTCTTGTATTTTTTAACAACTTTTTTACATGGAATCTTGATCCAATCAGATCCTTTTTAGGAACTCCCTTGTAGCGCTTCTAATTATATAGTTGGTGCAACGAAGAGCACACGTTTTGAACATTTGTCTTGTCGTTTTCTTTATAAATAAAAATTAACTATTCATTTTTCGGATAATAGTTATCAATTTTATTGTTAGCAGTTTATCGTTGCGTGCAAATATCGAGATTTAATTACTCTATAAACCGTTCTATCGTCTTTTCAAAAAAAGACGGCACTCCCGTCATTAGTATTATTATTATTATTATTATTTTTTTTTTTGGCTGTAGTATTAGCCATGCTGTATTATTGTAACTAACTGCAGATTTTATGCATTATAGCGAAATACTCCTAGACGCGTGGAGTTTGTCGACTTCGGTGTAGCGAAATTGACTAATCGCTGCGCCGTCGGACTGCCCGCAGTACGCGTAATCCGTTTTCACCGAGTTGCGTCGTTCTGACAGCGGCAAAACGGTTTCAGAAAACTTTCGACCTACGGGACTACGCTGCTGTGGTTATTTTTTTCGTGTGACATTTCGTGTTAGAGGGAAAATCGGTTTTAATTTATACGCGTCGATCGCTAAACAAACAACGCGTCGGGCGACAGTAGGCCTAGAGGTGGCTCACGGGAAAATCTGACAAACTAAAAAGGCCGGATAAAAAATAACCCGTGAACAAAAAGTCCAACTAAATTTGTCTTTTTATACGCAAACAGTAACTTGAATGGCATCAGGCACTTATCTGGATTTTTTTTGTAAGTATTCCCATATTATTCCGACAACAATAACTATTGGGATGTGTGATTTTTTTTCTTCCGTGAATTCAAATTCCTACCAGAAATCTTTCTTCTATTCCACTTAAGAATTCACTTGAAAATGGTTTCTAGTTCCACATTTTATCTTATTTGCAACGATGTGAAGTGTTTTAAACAGGTCCGTACTATGAAACGCGTCAATTATAAATGTTTGAAAACTAAATTTAAACAATTATTATTTTCGTTAAACGTGTTGAAAACTCAGACCATTGTATACGATTAAACCATGGTTTAAACAAAAAACACATTTAAAACGATAGACATTGGGTTTTTTTTTTTTTTGGAACCATGATAATTTGTATACAGGAAAAGTGATTATCTTCATCGTTTGTTGTATTTGTTTTTAAAACGGGCAAAAATTACTAGGGCTATTGACTTAAAAACAAGCGTTTACATTAAAATAACAGTAGAACTAGCACCGTGCGTTACCTCAATGTCACAATTTTAAGAAAAAATCTTCAAACTCGCATAACTTATTCAATATCGTTATTGATATGAAATGTAAATATTGTTATTGCACGATAATGTCATTGATGTCTTCAAGTTTCTTCTCGGAAAGAGTTTTTAGTTTTTGGCATAGATAGCGAATTACTAGCAGATTTCAACAGGGGAAATTTTGTTTATAAATGTAAATTTTAAATTCACACCAAAACCATTTTGACAGTTTTATATTATAAATATAATATAAAATGACATTATATGCTGTCTTATGGGGTATATTTATTTTTTGAAGAATAAAACACAACCGTCTTATGAAAATTCGGTCTCTATAATATTGAACGTTTTTAAACTGAGATTTTTTCATTGATCACTAAAAATGTGCTCGTATTATTTAAGCGTCAAAAACTTTAAAAAATACTCGACTTTTGAATAAACTAATCTAAAAATAACAATTACTTTTAAAGACGGGTGCAAACCTTTTTTTAGGTGGAAAGATGGGTAGATAAGACATGTAAAGTTATTTAATTTATAACTAAAGTAAATGACGAAAGACCATTAGTAATAAAAGACTATCTGGAGAAAATTTCGATAATACATACTCGTATTTTGAAATTTCGAATGCATTAAAAACAACTTTTGTATTTTAGAACACTAAGTACAGCTTTTGACTTATCTTGTGTTAAGTTGTCAAGCATTCTTTTTAAGTTATATAATTTTAATGATAGACAGGTAGGCACCAAATAAGAATACAGATAAAAACATGAAAGTATAAAATACCCTTACATATTCAAAAAACATTTAGAATGTTTTAAATTTTTGTTTTTTTGTCTAATCAAAGTAAATATAAGTATTTTATGAAAACCACAGATCACTTGAAATATGAATAAACAAATAACAAAAAAGAAACCCGGATACTGTACACTTTGCCTTATTCCCTACGTGTGTCCCTATTTTTTCGTAGTTATTTGGAAAACTATACGGAATCTAAACCGAACTATACTTGCGTTATTGTAAGCACCGTTTATTTGGTATTGTGACTGTACGATCGTGTTTTAGGAAGTTAATTTCCATAATATCCACGTGGTTACGATAATGAATAATATTGATGTTATTACCGACGACGCAAAAAATAAATTATCGAGTTACAAGAATATTTTTATAGTTTCATTAATATACTGACTTACTTTTTTTTTTTTTATCTGCCTATGATATGGGTTTACAGTCGATAAAATCCCGAGAAAAAGTATAAAGAATAATTTCGCTTTAATATTGAGTTTCCGATCCATAAGGCGTACGAAAACGTATTACACAAAATAAACAGTATTTAAACGGGAGTGAATCGTGGGACTAAGTCAGTGTTACAGTTGCGAATCGAGTTGTCAAAACGGTCTAAGAATTAATCTATACACTGCACTCCTGTAGGCATTTTCTATTTCATAAAAAGTTTAATTTTTATAAATAATTCGGTCGTGTTTAACTGCACAAAACGGTAGATAAATTACGTTTTCAAAACCCAAAACCAATTGAATTTTTTATTTTTTTTTTTGTGTGGAAGGATCAAAAATGATCGCGGCAACATTTGTGTTTATTTTGACCGTGACCACAATAACATGCCATTATGATAATAAGTCGGGTTATGTGAAATTAAATGTAACGAAATTATGCATCGAATATCCGGGGTCAATTTGGTGTCCGTGGTTTTTGGAGCAGTCGAACGAAGTAGATTGTCATTGTGCCACTGAATTGCCATCCGGAACGACAACCGTTACCGGTAGTTCGGCGGTATCGAGTGAAATCGTGGACGCCGGTTCGTCCGATGCCAGTAGCGGTACGATCCAAAAAGAAGCGCCAGAATCGCTTTTTAAAGCAGTAATAACAACACCGTCCGTTGTTCCTGAAACGTCTTTTGGTGAGATTTTACCGAACCAATCCGCGGAAAATACATTAATCGGATCCAAACCGATAACGGTTGATCAATGTGATAGACTCATCGCGGATGAAAAAAAATTACTTAGGTCGTTTATCAGGCAATTGATAAAAAAATCGCTAAAATCGTTTATGGCGTCGCTAACGTCAACCGATACATTTAGAAAATACACGGAAAAAAAAAATCCTTTTACAGAACATTCACCGACGCTCGACAGCAGGGGACAATCAATTAAACCAAGACGATGGGGAAATCGCCGTCTGGATAAACTCAATCTTTTCCCGACAATCGTCGGAGACACCGATCTCATAATATTATAGTCTCTATTATTATAATCGGAATATTATATTATTATTGTTATTTACCGACGAAAATCGAATTATCAAATAAACTTTATAATAGTAATTCGCTATTGTTTTTTTTTTTTTTTGTATTTTCAGCAGTTTATTCATCGGCGGTGGTTCATTCGATCGTCAACAACAAGAAATAGCAAGGACACTCGGCACGACGGGTCCCCGGCTCGACGCGGCCGCTGTTGTCGTTACTATTCTTTGCGTTTCTCGCCCTTGGTACGCGTTCGCGGTCAAACGCGGTTATATTATTTAGAGTCTCGGGGATCGGGTCACGCGACCCGGTAGGTACACTCGAAAACTTTAAACGATCCCGTTGAATTTATAATTGACAATACGTAATCATATTAAATAGAGTAGGCGATAAAAAAAAAAAAAAAAAAAAAAAAAAAAAAATTAAAAATTAAAAACGTACATTATCGAACACGAACATTTTCAATTAGGTTCGGGGATATTATTATCCGTTGTGCCCCGGCAGCATACGCGCACGCGGCCGTACGTGGCCGCGCGCGCACAAACTGCTCGGTACTTAATACGTCATTTGACGTACAGCTACGCGGCACCGTTAAGGAGAACGTAATAATTTAACACGGCGACTGTATACGACATAAACCGTGAGTTTATGTACCGTAAATATCGCGTATACGTAATATATACGTGTTTTAAACTCAATATTCTTAGTGAGCGTAATGGCCGTTAAGCGATGATTATTGGTTTTATGTTTTTTTATGTTTTTTTTTTTTTTTTTTCAACGCGTGCACACGGCACACGCGAACAAATGAAATCTCGTTATACGCGCGCGCGAGTAAACCGCACCGGCGGCCGTGTTCCGTGGTCGCGGCGATGCAGGGCTTTCTCGTCCGTTTTATAAGTGTACGGTTTTCGATACGAGCGAATAATTGAATTTCGAAAACTGTTGAAGAACCCGATGGCCCCCGGACCTAAATACGATGGTACGTTACGAACAATCAGGTCTCGGGACCGGAGCACGCGAAATCCGCATAAAAGCGCTTGATAATTGTCTGAAAATCACAAAACGGTAGAAGATTTTAATGGGTTTCTCTTCTAACGGATCCAACTCGTACGACGCTATTTTCTAACACTACGAAAAACGATTAATATTTATTATAAAAAACGATAGTATTTAACGTTTTCAAATACGTACAATTTTACTTAAACTAAATTAATTTGTGTTGTGTTATTGTTTTTGTACGGAATCGGACAATTTTATTTTTATATATTACGTCTGTAGGATGAAGGATTTTTAAATTTGTGCTTTTTTTTTTTTTTTTTTTTTTTTTTTTTTTTTTTTTAAGGTTTTGCTTTTTTGGAATTTGTATGCCATTTTATGTGTATTTTAAGCGCCATAGGTCTCGGGTATTGTCGTTATAATGATTTGTGTCTTTCTGCCAAATAAAACTTAAGCTATTTCGACGAAACGCAAAACAAAATCATGATAAATTTTGAATTATTGTTTCGTACTGTTATAAATCAATAGCGTTTTCAATTTAAACTTAGCAAACATAAAAAAATATGTTTAACATGGCTCAAAAACGTAATTCGCAGTAGTTTATCACAGCATATCCAAAGCAAATAATATTATAAATTAAACTCTATGCATTTAATCAGCCAACGCACCCGCAACCCCGGCTTACCAATATAATGTTGCGAAAAATACATTTTCCTTTTCGCTGCACTCGCGCAGTAGATAACGAAAATTTATTATTATATGACGGCGTAGCGGTGGCGGACCGCGAATCGGGACAGTAGGGCTATTTGTCCGTAAACGCCGTGATGTAGGGTGTGTTTTTTTCTCGTATTGTGGCAAAATATATACCGCGATTCGCTGTTTGCGCTGCGGCCGCGAAAATCCCGCCCGACCTAACCGTCAGTAATAACAGTATCGGTATCGGATCGACGGTACCCGTACAACGATAATGTAACGATATTTACGTCCGTTTCGCGTAGTAAAATAATACCGCGATCGCTCGCAGACGAGTGCGGTGCACCGACCGCGTGCAGTGTACGCGGTCCGGCAGGGGCGGAAAACGCTACGGCGTTTCGCGGTCCGCGTTTTAGAATCGCGGAAGTTCACTGCGCGCTCGTTCCGCGCGAGTAAAACGTAATAACGACGACGACGACGACGGCAACGGCAAAAACGGCGGTAACGCGCGCGCGGCCCTCGGATCGCCGGCGCGGCATCCGCGGCCTCTCGCCCGACATTAGAATCCCTACGGCGTACGCGTCCCGAAGTTTATTACGCTGCGCTGCGGCGCGGGGTACGCACGGTCCGACGGTGTCCGCGGCAAGGGACGGCCGCGCGGCGGACAAACGTTTACTCGGCTTGTCGGCTTGCCGTTCAAAGTCACTCGCGCCGCGTGCGGGCGCCGTTACGCGCCGACGGGCGTTTCCAGTTTTTCGTTCGGAATCGAAAAAAAGGCGAAGTTAGTTAGTTTTCGTAAGGCCGCGAATACAACGGTTTGAATATTCAGACGAATGTAAAACGCCGATAAAAGTTATCTTCGATATTTCGCAGTCTACAAAACGTTAAAATACAGGTGTTTTGTCGTTCTAAGCCGATTTCAAAGGCATTTACGTCCGTTGTACTCGAACGCGTTTACGCCGTATCGCCTGTTAAACAAGACAATTGTACACGTACAAACTATACGTGTTTTCGAATCGGCAAAAACCTTAAAAATAACAAAACGATATCCCATAGAATTTACTATGTATAATTGATAGGTACTAGTTTTAAAACTAAACCGTGTGAATTATTTAACGTGTGTTAAGCATACAAATCGTATACACAATAAAATACAGTATGCGTGTTTAACGTGATTATTTCACATATTCGTGGGTTCGATTATGTGTATTATTTATTTATCGCGATATTATTTATTTCGCAGTGTAGGTATTAACCCGTGTAATAATTCCAGGGCTCGAAAATTATATTGTTAGCCGACGTAAATAATAATTAGAAAGTCGACGAAATATTATAACGAAGTTAAAAAAAAAAAAAAAACAAAAAAAAAAAATAATAATGATAATAATAATCAACAAAACAACGAACGTGTATATGGGCTGTGAATAATTAATGTTTTTATAATTTTTTCAGCGAAACCGCTGTAATAACATTACGTTCTTTAACATGGACCGTCGACGGTAACCCCCGTTAAATTATAATTTACACTACCATAGCTGTCCCGCACGACTTTGACCGGCACATTATTTTTAACGATAGTGCAATTATGTACACCATATCTGTCTTAACGATAAATGTTAATATTAAAAACAAATCGGAATACAGTATTCGTATGGTATACTATCGCTATCGTGATTTGTACGATTTTAAACGAAAATTTGTGTTTCTAAAAAAAAAAACAAACGTTGACTACGGATTTAGTACCTTAAACAACTCACAAGCATTGTATCAAATTTTCAAGAATTTCGCGAAAAACCAATACGATTTCATCCATATAAATCTATGAGTGAATAGTAAAAAAACTCGAGAATTGAAATTGGCTATAGGTAGCTCAAAAAAAATACAGTGCGTTTCGAAATAAATCTAGGTTAATCAAATATGAGTAAAATGTGAACGTTACAACTATCGGTACGGTTACTTTGCCTAACAGAGAAACAAAATGAAAACAATAAGGAAAATCGAAAAAACAGGTTCCACTTCGATGCACCGACTAGATAACGTTTTCTGCTGTTTGCATTTGAACTGACGTAGGATTACTAGTAAAAAACCTGTCCCGTCTACATTCTCGGCGAGAATCTAACTGGAAGTTTTATCAATGACGGCCAGAATAATATTTCGTGTACCGGAATGTTCGCATAAAAACTGTTGGTTTTGTCCGCGGCGATCTACGGTGGTGGTTTTTTCGCGTTATTTTACAGGCTGACCGCTTAAGACAACGAGATATTAATTGAACATAGATCGCGCAGACTGCCTGTAACGCATAGGGGTATACGGATGCACACCTCTACTATAACCACCGTAACGTTATCCGTATTATTGATTGATTATAATTGCGTTGATTTCGATTTGTATGATTGTTATAATATATCTACCGCGCATTCTGAGCTACAACGCTTAGTTTCGCGTTTTGCCGGCAGTAGTTAATTTTCAAATTCGCGTATTCTTAAACAAAGTTATACGTACACGTATATGTTATGGCATTGTGGTCACGGAAATTGATCGAATTTCAATTTAATCGTACGCATCGGAACAGACTTCTATTGGTAGATCGGCAGTAGTGACCTTGATTAATAATATTATAATATTAATGAAAACAATAACGTTTTTCGAAAGGGGATCAAATAATACGATAACGTAGACACCGAAAACATTTTAATACGACATTATTTTTCGCTCTGTGCTATGAACATGCAACGCATGCTTCGGGCCTCTAATTGGTTACACAGTTAAAATACGGAACGGCCTCTCTGTATATTACTCTATGCGCAGAGGTCATGGCGACCTATGTGCCGAACGACAGAAGTCACGCATCTATTAACGATACAATGTATACAATAATATTATACGAACACGTGATTATATTATATTACTGATTTTTGTCGGGCACGAAAATGTTGGACCGCGAAAATGACAAAAAAAAAAAAAATAAAATAAAAATATATTGAATTTATAATTTATCATTTTTTCAATCGTTTACTATTGACAATAGAGCATTTCGTTAATTCCGTTTGTATACTGGTGCCGATTATTCCTTTAAAAAATCGTTTCGGCTATTCTAGAAAGGCGGGACGAACGGACGGACGGACGGATTAATTTTATAAACCTACTACGACATTACCCCGGGCAAACAGACGGACCGACAATATTTGTAATAATTTCAAATTTTCAAAAGTCCGTATGGGTTTTTGTATTACGATATTATTTGCAATATCAAAATAACAATATAACCATCATATCGACATCTTGAAAAATGATAGTAATTCCGAACTAATAGACGGGCATTTCTTTTTCGGATTCTGCGTGTAGCAAAGAATGCATCATTGGTTTTACAGAGATGTTTATTTTTTACGCTTTGTACAAAAACATTCTTCCAGTAATCTTGCCCGAAGTAAAAAGTGCAGCATCTTTTCTGAAAGGGAATTTTCCTGGGATGGTACATTAAGAAGGTTTTTTTTTTTTATATTTTCCCAGGAGTATTCCCGATAAATGTGGAACAAAAAAACCGAGAACATGGAAATAATATTAAACGGATATTAAAGAAAGTATTAAATACGGATATGCAATTGTTTTACCACAATGTGGCATGTATATATATTTATTGATGACAAAGCAACACTATTAGTCTAACTCCTCTAAAAATGTTATTACCAATGGTTAACCGTCGCCTACCGATACACCTACATTAAATGTCCCCGGTACATTCCCAACTTCTCACCTACGTCAATGATCGACCCACGTGAGCAGTACGTCTTTTACGTATACAAATTGTTCGAAGGATATAGTTCGATTCGAACATGGGTATTTAATTGTTATTGTACGAAAACACTGGGTGTTTTGAAATTCGGCATCGATGTTGGTGCGCGGCGAATGTCCCGGGTAAGATGGCGCGGATAAAACTCGCGGTGTTTTTAAACACAACACGTATATTTACAGTCACTGTTTTAGGTATTCGAATAATAGCGCGGACTATGCGATAAAACGATTCTGAACGCAGCGAAGAGCGTATTGGTTTTATAACGATATTTTAGTTTTCGATTTCCGTCGTAGTTTTTCTAATAAACGGAATAAAAACTGGCGTTATTTTTCGCTTCATTTTCGTTGAGTTTTGGGTTACCATGGCAACAAGTGAAAAATAAGGCTGATAAAAAAAAATAAACCATCTTGAGTATTAATTTCACGAATACCGTTATTATACAAAATTATCGTATTACCTTAAATATTTTCGCACGGTAACATTAATCTTCCACGATGTCACGGTGACGACGATGGTATTTTTCACCCTCTATATTAAATCGATTATTTTGATAATGTTGTATGCGATAATACCTACCCGAAGGGCGAGCAATTTAATATTTTTTTGAATGTTATTTTATATTCTGTACTTTGAAATTCCGAGCGTAGCGAAAGAGCTATTGATTTTACTAAGATGTTAACTATTGTTTTTTTAATTGCGCAATTTCAGTGTTTTAAAAAAACACACACGACGTTTTATACCGGAAAAAACGATTTGATCGAAAAATTCACCTTTTTCGTTGCCTTTTTGATTTAATTTCTAAAAGTATCTTCGCTAACATTTTCGAGCCAGTTTTGAGCCTTTAAGGAAATTTAATTTTTAGAAGTTTTTGATGTTATTCGGTTATAAATACACGTAGAGACTTGAAGTTTAGTAATAATATTTATATTGAACATACCTAGACATGGTAAAATTTCCAACAGTATCGGACGACTTTTAAATTTTTTTACAAAGGTACTTTATTTTTTTTACTGTAGACTACTTTTATCCTAGAAAACTTGCTCCGATGTATAAGTGTAGCACCTTTTCTGAAAGTAAATTTTAACTACTTTGTAAATACATAGGTCATTTTTTGATTTTCCAAACAATATTTAAAATAATAATGATTAACCGGGGAAAAAAATACTATTTTACACGGTTTTGTATTATTTGATAAATAGCGGGTATTGTGATATAGAGAGGATACTCGGTACTGTTTGACTATATAATTAATATGTTAATAATATATGTTTTTTTTTTTTTGTAATTTGTTTTGAAGAATGGTAAAAACGAGATCTGTCTACTCAGAATCATTTTTCGTTATTGTTCGGTAAAGATAAAAATGAACGTCCGTATCCAGTGTTATTTCAATCGGCAATATCAGCTATTTTTTTTTTTTTACGTTTTTAAACAACTTTCCTATCATCAATCTGCCTACAGTCAAAAAACGACCGCTGAGTTTTTTTAAATTTGTACGATTTTGTTTTTCTGCTCTGAATTGTGCACGAATAACGTCTTTTCCGAAATAAAAAATTCCCTAGTAGTTGTATATTATTACAATTCACGTTACGATCGTCTTACGAAAATTTGGTTTCAATAATACCCGAAATTTTGTTAACCGATTTTTTTTTTCTTACAATACATCGCTAATATTTTAGTCGGATTATTTTAAAGGCGTTTACAAGTAAACAGCGGATTTAAAAAATACTAGACTTTTTCTAAAAAAAAAAAACATGATTAATTAACTACGTGAAACGAAATTAATCTAAACCGAACTATACTTACGTTATTGTTAACACCGTTTCTTTTGAATTGTAACTGCACGATCGCGTTTTCAGATAAAAATTTTCACAATATACGCGCGGTTACGATAACGAGTAATAATTATTGTTATTACCGTTGACGTCAGAAATAATTTATCGAATTACAAGAATATTATCGTAGTTTCATTGTTATAAACCTGGCATAATTTTGATTGATTTTTTTTTTTTACCAGCCTATAATATACGTTTATAGTCGATCGGTTCTCGAGAAAAAGTAATACATTTCGCTATAATATTAAGTTTCCGATATTATCGATATGTTATACGAAAACATATCAAACAAAAAAAAAAAATCGTATTTAAACGGGGGGAAATCGTGAGATCGAGTCATTGTAGCGGTTGCGATTCGAGTTGTCGAAACAGTCGAAGAAATTTTTCTGTACGCCTAATAATCAAATTACACTATTCCGGTACGCATTTTCTTTTTAATAAAGAGTTTTAATTGAAAAACGAAAAAAATTCTGCCGTTGTTTAACGCGCAAAACGGCAATTAAACGTTTTCAAAATCCAAAACCGATTGAATTTTTTGTTCTTATTTGTGTCGAAGCATCAAAAATGATCGCGGCAACGTTTGTATTCATTTTGACCGTGACCACAATGACGTCGGGTTATGTCACTAAAAATCCCGCGTACTTTAAAAACGACGAAACAACTGCGGCCAATGCACAACAAGACGATTCTTCTTGGTTCGACGATAAGACGAACGCAATGGAAATTAGAACGAAATTATGCACGCAGCAACCGGATTCCATTTGGTGTCGACCGTCTCTCGAGCACTCGGAAGAAATAGACGGCCACCGTGCCACTGAATCCCCAGCCGATACGAAAACCGCTACCGGTAGTTCGGCGATACCGATGGAAATCATGGACGGTGATTCGTCTGATGCCAGTAGCAGAAAGATCCAAAGAAACGCGCCGAAATCGCTTTACAAGGGTGTAATAACATCACCGCCCATTGTTCCTAAACCGTCTATCGGTGCGATTTTACCAAAACAGACCACGGAAAGCACGTTAAACGTAACCAAACCGATAATGGACAATCGATTTGATAATCTAACCGCAGAAAACATCGATTTGCTAAGGTCGTCTATCCGGCACTCGATAAACAAGTCGCTAAAGAAGACGCTAAACTCGTTTATAACATCAATACGGGCAACCAACACAGCCGGGAAATTCACGGACAAAAAAAATCCTACGATAGAAAATTCGCCGAATGTAGAGAACAATGAAGTAAACGAAGACAAAGAGGAAATCGCCCTCTGGATGATCCTAATCTTTTTACAAAAATCATTGGAAGCGTTGAGCTCATAATTTTGAATATTTTCTTTAACATGCATGTTTTACTAATATTCGCGTACGCCTTTATTATATCCATACCGTTTTCTATGTCTGTATAAATGATACGTTCTATTATTATTTTTATTTATCTACGCGTATCAAATTATTACAAAATAAACCTTATTTGAACTAAAATATTATAATAATTTGGTGTCGTTATTGTTTGTCTGTATTTACAACAGTTTGTTCATTAGTGAGAGTAACTCGACAACGAAAGAGCAAGAGAACTTAGCATGCTGAACTCGGATCGATACGGCCAATTCTATTACTATTATTATTATTGTTGTTTTTTTTTCTTTTGAATATAGCGTGCGTAGCGTAATACCCATTTCGAGTTGGTATTCGAAATGCTAACCTAACCTGACCATTGTGAATTATACGAAATAAAATCGATTTCATTCGAATTACCGTTGAAATTTGACAATATAAATACAGAATTTATGTTTATATTGTCAAATTAAAAAAATTCAAATACGATGACGTAACGCATTTTAATAAGCAAAGTATGCTTAACGAAAAATTAACAATTGAAAATAAAAAGCTGGCCATGCATCATGGTAGGTGAGAAGTCTGATATGCATATAAGGTATTTGAGTGTTTATGCTGAAAAGCAACGGAAAATCATTGCAATCGAAAAACTATTTGAAGCGGAGCTCGTTTAACCGCTAAGATTATAGAACTAATCGTGTTTTTCTCTTAGTGTACCCGAGGAAACTATGAACAAAACATGTCCATATTACTCGAGGGAAACACTGCATTATTTGAATTGCATAAGCTATGGATTTTACTAAAACTTCAATTCTGCCAAAAACGGTTAACGCGCCTATGTGTTCCGCGAAAGTTTCAACTGGGTCTCTATGCGTATTTCTAAAATCGAACTATAACCGAATCAATATTCGGAAATAATAATACGGCACATTTTACCGTTATTCCAAACCGTTGGGCGACTTGTAAGGAAATCAGATAAAAAAAAAAAAAAAATAATAATAAAAAAAAAAGAACCTCCTCGTCGTATCGAATAAATCCAAAAAAATTACGGGAAATAATAAATAAACATCTTCCGTCGAGAACGATTTTTCGTGGAACGTGGCGTTGTTGAGGAAAATAGAAAAAATCCATCACAGACCGATACGCTCGGAACGTGTCACCGGCGTTTTTTTTTTTTTTTTCTTTACTCTCGTAAGACCGCGCAATAGAACCGTACGCGGTCGGAATACGACGACGCGAAAACCGTGAAAATCCCGATCCCGGGCCGCTATTTTAATAATACCCGGGCTAATATATATATATGTCATTTCGATCGCACGGCCGCGAACGAAATCGCCTCGCGTCCGTACCGACGGGTCCGTCGGGTTTCGCGCGATATTTCCATTGTGTGCGGCCGCGCGTCGTTATTGTTCGCGGCGCGTGAGAGCGTCCTCGGGGTTCGCTCGAAATCCAAACCGCAGGGCTTTTCGGGCGGCGGCGCGTAACGTTTCCCGCGGACCGTCATTCCCGCGCGGTGTCACAATAACGTTGTACGCGCATACGTATGCGACGCGCCGTGCGCGCCACGGCCACAATAGGTGTCCCGGCCACTATTATACGGCTTGCCAATTCTTTTATTATACCGTCGTTCGACGTCGGGGCGGGAAAAAAAACAACACAACACAAAAAATAACCCGTCCGTTAGTGTCCGTTTACCGGGGATTCGTGCCGGCGCGACGCCCACGGAAAAAAAAAAAAAACAAAAACAAAAACGCGGCCGCCGAATCGACGGTATAATAATGATTTTGTACACGGGACGACCGCCGCCGCCGCCGTGGTCGTCGCCGGCATCGTGACGGTCCGTCCGTCGCGGAGTCATACCCATTGTTGTGCTCGCGTGTCCCGGAACGTTTCAGGCGCGGCGGCGGCGGCGGCGACCGGGGCGGATAAAAAATCGCCGGTTTTGGCGTCGCGGAGAGGCGGCGGCCGCACAAAAGGTCCGGCTGACGGACGGTTTTCGAAAAGGGGGGCGTGCGAGCGGTGCGTCGCATGACGTCTGGGCGACCACGCGCGCACGACTCGCGTAGACGATATAATATATTATTATTATATCCTGGGGGTCCGCCGCGCCGCGGCACACAGAGAGACGGTTGTTTTTTTTTTTTCTCCCCGTTCGAAAAACCCTAATGTCGGCCGCTATTGTACGCGTGTTAATCCGTCGCCGGATGAACGGCGGCGAGGGGGTCAGAGCCGTTTCTGGTGCGCCCGGTGGGCGTGATTCGAAAACGATAACTCGTCGTATGCGCGGATGTAATGTGCGCGCGCCCGGCCGCGCCAAAAACCGTCCGCCGCCGCAGTATTTTTCGCGAGTTTCGCGCGCCGCCGGCCCCGCCGATCGGACCGATCCCGTTCGAGCGCGGCCGTTCCCGTCCCGTCCGTGTCGTGTCCCGGTCCGGCCCGTTTCGGATTTTTTATTTTTTTTACCACCTCTCCTCGCCCTTCGCCGCGTTTTTATACACATCGCGGCCTACGCGTGCGGCTGGGCGAAAGGCGTAAGCCCCGACTCGGGTCCAGTGACGCGCCGAAGCACGTTTTTTTCCGAGGCGATCGCCACGTGACCGAGTGACCGAGTGGTTGGGCGGCCGACCGAACGTGTTGAATATTGATTGAGATTTGAATGTTCAGTTTGAATGGACCGAGCGGTGATCAGAGACGCCCTAGGTTTTGCGTATTATATACTGTTTTAATATACCAGCTGTGCTTACGGACATCGTATTGCCTATATTATGCGATCAATAGAGCTAAATAAAGTTTTGCCGTAATTGTCTGTAGGACGTCCATAAAAATACACGTTTTGATCGGGTGGGTCGTAATTTTTTTGTTTCTATGACTATTACAGTGACTTTACTGACGAGTGTGACCATACGCAATAAAATACACGTCGTTGAACAATTTGCACGTAATCGTTCACGATCCAAGAGTATAATTGATAAATCGTCGAGATATTATACACGAAGTCGCGATAAAAGTTTTTTTTTTTTTTTTCGGAACAAAAGTGTGTCGGTACAAATGTCTCGTGGAACAATACGTAACGTTTCGCTGTCGTGGCTGCGACAACCATTTAATATTATTCGAGATTAAACAAGAGCCGTAACAAGAGACCTGTTATTCTTAGAAACTTGAAACTTGAAACAGACAATTTATATTTGCTTTTTCTAGACGCGCTAACATTTTCTAAATATTTAAGTCGTGTTTGAGCTATTCATGTGAGATTTTCATTTTGTGAGATATTACGTAGTTTTTATTTGGTGGGTGAATACAATTGTTAGGCTAAACAAATATGCTTGAAAATTTAACGATATGTTTATTATAAATCATACGTAGTGATCAAAAAAAAAAAAAAAAAAAAAAAAATAATAATAATTTAGTGTAATGTAGTTTTTTTTTTTTTGGAAGAGTTTTAATATCAAATTTTTACGAAATATTGCGTACATATTACTGCCATTTAAAACACGTACGAGCGTAGCCGAACTTCACTTCGTATCGTTTTTCGTTGGCAATGATGGTTCATTACTTATGGATACAACATAAATAACTTTAAGCATCGTAGCTCTCCAACTTTTCGCGTACATAGCCGTGGCACACCAGCTGTCCACATCATCAGCTTTTTTAATATTAATTTTTTGTATTTTTGACGTCCACACGACCACGTCTGCAACGTCTATTTGTCCGTTGTTTGCGTTGAACTATTATTTCGACCGTTCAATCGGGTTTGTCGGGTCAAGGACACGCGTATTATTATTACTATTATTATTGTAATTCTTTCGCAAGATAATGGGCTCCGCTGAGCAAGCTCGTGTGGGGCCACACAATTCCTTTACAATATCAAATATTGTCTTAAATAATAACACATAAATAAACATACGGAAATGCACGAATACGCAAAGTTTACAGTGATAATATAGGCGGTAGGAATGCGTTTACTCTGCTAACTGTTGTGTTAGCCGAGCAGTCAAATGTGTTTAAACCTATTATATTGTAATCTCTAGTACGCGGTTCCTTAGGTAGACTGTTGCAAATGTTTGGACCGACGCGCACAAAAGACGCCCGGATGGAGGTTTTTTGAACTTTCGAAATTACCAAATTAAATATACTTGCGCGTTCGCTGTACTACACGCAATTGTAAATAGTCGGCATGAAGGCGAAGGAGATGTAGACTGTTGCAACACTACACTGCCGCATCGTTAAATATCGCACAAAACACGACTGCGCGTGCACATCGTTGCGTCGCCGATCGTCTAGCTCGGAATACCCAAAAGAATCGGCACGGACGAAAACGTTACACAATTTAATATTTATCTCTTGCAATATTTTTCTAATAATAATAATATTATAATCCCGTCAACGGCAATAGTACCCGACGAAAACGATATCGTTGTTATTCGCGTTTATCCGGACGGATATTTTGTTGCTTTTTTTTCCACCCGACGCCCGCCCCCTCCCCCTCTCCCTCCCGCCGGCCGCTACAATGCCGACTTCGTATAACATCTGCAGCCGTGTGAACGGACATCCGTTATGCCAATAACACAAAATATAGACGCCAGTTTTTATATTTTATTTTTTTGTTTTCAGTGGATTACAGTCGAACGGACACACGTTTCGAACGGCGGCGCGTTATAATGGCTAATTAATGTACAGTCGACAAAAAAAAACCAGTAAACATAAATACTTAACGAAACAAAGTTTTTCGGCCGACGAGATTTCATACTTAAATATACTTAGGCACGCCTATTTGTTGCATTTTTATTGGACTCGATAACACGCGATTGATGATTGTAAAACTTTGTACTTTACACGGTAAATAACGACTAAACTTTTACAAGTCGGTTTATTCGCCGATTTAAATCGCATTTTAAAATATTATGTAAGAACTGTAATGAAATTTGCCGTTTTAAAACGAAAAAATAAATAAATATCTGCGATTGATATTGCGCGCAAGATCGTCA